GGGGATGTGTTGGAATAAGTGACAACTGCATGACAATTTGACTGTGATATTGATTGTGTGAGTAGTGGCTTACCCGAATAATATCTTGTGGCTCAGGCAAGTTAGTACCAGGATGACGCTGAAATACGCGCACTGCAGGTCGATCCAGTCGTTCCCTTGTTGTCAAGTCAGCATGAGACTCAGGTCCTAGTGTGTAGCCTTTAGCTTTCTCTGTGGCGTCAAACCAACGCTGGGCACGGTGAACAGCAGCACGGTTTTCCCCAGACTGCACTTGGAGATGTTGCTGTAATGAACACATGTATTTGATTATTATAATGCCATAATTGCTATATTTTTCGTAACTCCAATTTTGTTTAACCTTTTGACCACTAGACTTTCTCGCCCAAATTTTTCAGCTATTTTCTTCTCATATTTTTCAATATTTCTGGAAATATGAATCAATTTTTTTACTCAGAAAATGTGGCTATTTTTGTCCCAATTTCAACATTTAAATAGACTGAATACAATTTGTCAATATTGAGACCACAAGAGGTGGAAGTGAACAACTGATCATTTTGCAATACCTTAAGTGCTATTGTCTCTGCTAGTTTCTGTGTCAAGCCATCATTGACAGATTTGTGTGCAGATCTCTGTAGCTGCTCTGTTCTTGCTATTGCGTCTTCCACGTCCCTCCTCAGCGTAGATGACTTATTCCGTGCGTCATGTGCTTGAGCAATAGCAGCAGCCGACTCTGGCGTGTACGGGCCAAGTGGATCTAAAGTTGGTGTATACGATCTTGTTGGTTCATATTCCATAGCATCCTCTGGCAGTGGAGTGCTACTTCTACGACCGTCGTTTCGCATATTGAAATGAACCTGTCTTGAATAGCCAAGTCCATTGGATCCAAATGTAGGTTTAATAGCATGGTGCATGTTACGTGAGTTTCTGCCATTGGTTACTGATGAGGCTGCATGACACAGAAGGTCAAGTACACGAGAACGCTCTTGTATAACAGATCCTAGTCGTTTGCGTGCTTCATCCAAAACCTAACAATGAAAAACATATAATAATATTAAAAATCACATGAATGTAATAAGAACTGTGATTCAGTTCAGTGAAAAATACTTCTAGTCTGGATACTTCAGGTGATCAACATGTCCCTGAAGTTCATCATTACCGTACTTATGTTGTCAGTAAAATTCTACTAATAATTTGGAACGATTTTGTAGCAGATTTCAGATAGGATAAAATTTACATGTTACATATTCATTGTTTAATGAATTATTTATATCTACTGATAAGAAATTTGAGAGCAGGATATGAAGCTCACACTACAGGATGGGAGAGGAAAACATTACACCTGCATTAAATTGTTTACAATGGGTTACTATGACAACTTACCTGCAACTGTTTCTGAACAGCTCTCAGTTGGGCTTCTAACATTCGTTTTAACTGTAATAACTGCTTGCGTTCCAGGTCCAATAAACTATCAGCACCATCTTGATCCTACAAAATAAATATAAGAGACATTGTGATTATTTAAATTTTGTAATTGTCCCAGCAAAGACACATTGCTTAGACTTTTCCGGGCTGGTTCCCTTCCTCCTAGTAATGTGAAGGGTTACCCATTTGATAACTGATGGGAAAGAATTCGTTTTTTTTTTTAAATACTTTACTTACAGGTACACCATGACAAATTTGTATTGACTTTTTCCCCCCTAGTTTTACATAGTAAATAACAATTATGTCGTTATAATAACAGCCATGTTACCATGGTTGCATTATGAAAAGTAGATTAAATTTCTACCACACATACATAAACTGCTATTTTTATAACATGTATATGTTACATATGAATAATCATATCCTGTTTGATATGGGATCCATATCAATGTTTACAACACTTGTTTGAGAATGAGACAAGACAAAATCCTAAAATGTCAGCTGCCTCAACCAACCAAGACATAACAAAATTAAATCATTCATCTTTGTTTTCCTCATTTCTGTTTGTTTTGTTTTCATCTTATCAGTGATGTTTTTTTTTACTCTGTTGTTGTTATTTTATTATTCTATCTACCAAAATCCCACATCAGGATACAGTTTCAAAATAAATTATTATTATTAACTAGTGTAAAATACAATATGCTGCATGACGACTGTAGCACTTTAAACAGAAATTACGAGTATTCTCACAAGCACTACGAGTTTGAAATTCCCTAAGACACCAAAGGCCTTAGTGTCCTTCAAAATTGGGATCCTTCTTGATTATGAAATTCTAGCCTTAGCACAGATAAAAAAAATGTGCCTTAGAACAAACTCATGTATCTGGCCATCATGTGCATTATTCAAAACTTTGTATGTTGTCCGAATTGAAAAAAAAAAAAAGAAAAAAAATCGAAATGAATATTAATGTTTTATGATAATAAAAAATACATCTGCATCAGATATTGATAAATAAATTGACGAAAAACTTTATTCTTATTTTTTTCTGGCCACAACGACAGTACTAATTTTTGCTGTCAAAGATTTCCACAATTTGAAATTGTTTGCTACAATTTGAAATTAAAATTGTAAAAGTTGTTCACAGCTGCAGTTACATATAGCGTCATTATATGTTCAATGTTTTGAGCTTATTATACTGGCTAAGCTAGGTGTAAACAGGAAACCCATCAACATGATAGTCACTTTAATTTTCACGAGAGACAAATATTCATGAGTTCCACGAGTTAGTGAAAGTCACAGAATTTTATAACAGGAAAATTTCTTTGGGGTTTTACAAAACAAAGTCTTAGTGACCCTTAGAAAATTTTGCCTTTATGTAAAGCCATAAAATCCTGAAATCATGATTTACAGTATAAAGAGACCGCCAAAATGAAGTCTATTGATTATTTGTTCAAGAAAGCACCCTAAATGGAAATCCTATTATCTACCAACAAGTAATGGCCTTGCACTTTTGTACGTGGTTGTCCTCCTTTTGAACTGGATTTATTATTTATTATTTTAATTTATCTATCTTTAGAAACAATATTTGCATTATGATATAGCATTAATAGGACTTGTTGCTATGAAAGCTCAAGTTTATGGTCACTTGGCGGATTGCAATCACTTAAAGAAACCATATAACTTTCACTCTATAAATAATAACGATTTAATGACAAAATAAACTTGATTCTCTTTTATTTGTTATTCAAGCTTGACTGTCATGGAACAACAGTGAACATGGCTGAAAATGTGTCAACTACGTTCAACCTAATATTCTAAACTTGTTGTTTGGTGACAAACCTTGGAAGAAAGGTATTTGCATTGTTACCGTTATGACATTGTTGTGCTGGTCGTCTAAACGAAAATATAGTTCTCAACTACCAGAGCGGGGACGTCCATATTTCCAATTACATTGTTGTGTACACATTGTACAGTTATTTTATGCATGGATGGATGGTTTTCTTCGGCAATTTAAAAGGATATCTATATCATGTAAAATAATAAATGACATTACCTTTTCTCTTGATGGCCGAGTGAGACGTACTTCCATTGACAACTTGTTAAGTGCGATGTCTTTGCGTTTGTGTTCCAATGCTTTTTCGAGGGATTCTTTCTTTCGTATTAATAGCTTAATTTCTTCATTAGTTTCAACCAAACTTTCCCGCAGTTTAACAACAACCGCTCTGGCTTCTCTGACATAGCAGTGGACGACTTCGTTACTCTGTTGTGCACAATTGTCTCTGAGAGATGGTAGTGGGTCCAATGTACGACCAAGATCGCAGCCCTTGTCGCTCTTTCTCACCACTTCCTGTGATACTTTGATGGTCTTCAGAGAAGCGTCCCGCCAGCTTTGAGGACCGATTACCGCTGTCGAAAGCGGTACTTGTGGTCGGCTTTTCATAAGGGTTGCCATTTCACAACATTGGCTCGTGCAGAATGATAAAATAAAATGCAGAAATTAATATAACAAGTGCACCGAACCAAATGTCAGACTCAGACTGTACTGCTCGATTGTGACTGTATGTCCCTGAGCGTCAGTACGTAACACT